AGACTATTTGCTCGTATTACGGGCATTGGTCTGACAGCAGAACGTCCAACACTGCAGTCATTAATATCATGCGTAATACGTAATTTATTGTTTGTTTTGACGACGCTGGCGCGAGTCAGTTATTTAGTGGTAATGACGGTTTACTGGCCGAGCGATGGACCGAGTGCGAATCCCGCCTGGGGCCGAAACTTTACACTGTGTTTTGAGGACATTTCTCTGAACAACATATCCGAGTTTACAACCCTAATATCAATGAAAGCCGACTCTATGTTAAACTGTCGGCATTCGCTAATTGCTGCTATTTGATTGGCTCTCGCGGGCCAGGGGCCTTGCGTCGTTAACGGCGCTGATGACTGCTCGCTTGATTATTGAAATTTCTCTGAATAACATTACCGAGTTTACAAGTTTCAAACGATTTTCTCTAAGGTATGAGACGAGTTTTTTAACCAGATCGAAAATATGAGGTAAACAACTCAGCCTTTCGAAGGTTTTGGGGATTTCTCAGTGCTGTTTCATAGAGGCGACTGGACGGAGATAGGTTATCCCTCACAAGTCCTGGTTTAGGTTTCCAAGGATAGATCGGTCGCAAAGACGAATCGGATTCTTAACACCCACGAGCCTTGAGGACGTCCGATAGATTGAAATTCCGATAAGATTGAAATCCCTCGAAGTCGAATATTTCAAACCACATTCGAAACACGCGTTAAGTTATACCTAATTCTCTACCCTGCTCCATCTGCCGACCTTTATGTCTATCTATGTGGTGCTGTAAATTCGCTCATGTCGATTTCGACCGAACAAATGTTACGTGATTATTTCACGCAGATGTATCTCTGGGATCGAACACCCCGTAACCTTTGCACTGTGATGGAAAACTCGCCATGACCATCCCCTTATTATAGTCATATTTCTCTGTTTGTTCTTAACTCGTTGCAGAAATCGAAGAACCAATCCCGGACGAGGTCACAGAAGAGGATGCCTGATTGGACAAGGTCGATACTCCGGTTTCCCCCGTGGCGTGTGCGGTTGGATCTTCTGGCTGCCTGCTTGTGTTTCACTTTTTTTCTTCCTCTTGAGCACTCTTGTGTCTCGTTCCTCTTTCGCTCTCCCGCTATTACCGCTCCCTAATAAACACTCTCCCTCCTTCGACGAGATCTTCTGATATGTAACGGTGTTTTGCCTGCTTGCTTGCTACAAAACTGGTGTCAGCGGTTCCTCTCCATGTCCCACGACCAGGCTACCGCGAAATCAGCCAAAATACCCGCAAGCGTGGACGTAAGGGAGTTTTGCCAAGCTCTTATGTCTTTCCTGGTGACAAGGCAATCCTCCACGGACACACTGCCTCTGTTGATACCGGAGGACAATTTCGACGTTTGGTACTCCCAAGCAAACGTTCATTTGGCCTCCATTGCAGCCAAAGACTGTGCGCGGTACATATGCCGCCACCTCTTGACGGAGGCGCTAACAAAGGCCTCTGCTGTCGGGGTCAAGTTCGATACCGACGCGGATTCGCTGTTGAGCGCCCTTCGGCGCGTTTTTGCAACGCCCAAGTCCCCAGTGGACGCGTACAGGCAGTTCTCGTCCCGTCTTCAGCTCCCTGGGGAGAGTGCCACAGATTATTTGGGCTGTCTTCGCTCTTTGCTATTGGCGGCCTTTCCTGACCAGCCAGCGAGCCTGACTGATGTTGTTCTCGGCGCGCACTTCCGCGCTGGTTTATTGGACGATAACTTCCGCCGGAAATGGATCAAAAACCCCAACTTAGCGTCGGAGGCCCTCTTAACCCTGGTGCAGGAGTATGAGGAACGCTACGGTCCCTCAGCCGCCGCGCCATGTTATTCCACCGCAGTCGCCCGGAAACGGCAGACTCGGTCAGTGGCGACCCAGACATTCCGGAACTTCACACGTCCATTCCGAGGTCGCCAGACTTGCGTCGCACAAATCTCCCGTGAGTCCTACCCCGTTCCTGCTGTTACATCTACCTCTGATTTTCCTGCTCCCATTGTTAACACAACGGTTGTAGACAGGCGAGTGGCGTTTCTTGTTGACACAGGGGTAGCCTGCTCTTTGCTAAACCCCCAGGGTTTCATCCGCACCTAGCTACAACAGACCGAAATTCCCCATAGACACCCCCGTATTGTAGCGGCGAACGGTATGCCACTTTCCTGCTCGTGACTAGTCGACGTGCCATTTCGCTTGGGCTCATCTGAGTTTACTCACCCCTTTTACGTCTGTCCAGATATTCAGTGGCAGGGTATTTTAGGCGCCGATTTTCTCTATACTCACCGTTTCTGCGTCAATTTTTGCGGCCGGTCAAATTACCTTTACGTCGACTACAATCCCCTTTTATTTTCTTCATATCCCTGACCCCCAGCTGTTTTGCGACCCAGTCGGGCTCCACCCTCCCCAGCCTTCCGACCTGGTTCATTTGGTTCCCGACTCTCCCGGGTTCTCCTCTGAACAGATCACTGCTGTTCGAAACCTTATATTCCAAAACTCCGCTGCGTTCGCATGGGATGGTGGACCCCTTGGTAGAACGAATGTATTGCAGCATACTACCGATACGGGTTCAGCTCGACCAATCCGTCAATCCCCCCCCCCGCAGCGTACCCGTGCATTTCCAGAAACAGTTAGAGCAAACCATCAAAGACATGCTGGAGAAGCACGTCATCCAACCCTCGTCCTCACTTTGGGCCTCTCCAATCGTCCTCGTTAAAAAGAAAGATGGATCTTTGCGATTATGTGTTGATTACCGGAAGTTAAATGCCGTAACCGTCAAAGATTCCTTCCCACTTCCACACATTGACACCACCCTAGAGGCACTCGCAGGAGCTGCATGTTTCTCCACACTCGATTTGCAGTCCGGCTAGTGGTAGGTGGAAATGGCTCCCGAGGATAGGCCTAAGACTGCATTTTCCATTCCCTCTGGGTTGTATGAGTTTGAAACTATGCCATTTGGCTTGGCAAACGCGCCTGCCACCTTTCAACGTTTGATGGCCTCGGTCTTACGGGATTTATGCCCTACCGCGTGTTTGGTCTACCTGGACGATGTCATCGTACACGAGTCTACTGTCGAGTCCCATCTTGATAACCTGCAAACCGTCTTTAACCGTCTACAGGCCGTAGGCCTTAAACTGAACCCGGCTAACTGCTGCTTTCTCAAAAAGTCTGTCCCTTTTTTGGGTCACATCGTCTCAACTGAAGGGGTTAAGACGGATCCTGCGAAGACAGAACAAATACGCAGTTGGCCGCAACCGACGTCAGTTTCCGAGTTGCGCGGTTTTCTCGGTCTGGCCTCCTATTATCGCCGGTTCATTAAAGATTTTGCACACATGGCTGCACCCGTTAATCGTCTCACTAGCAAGCAGAACGCATTTAACTGGTCCGACGAGTGTGAGCGTTCCTTTGAGGAACTCAAACGGCGGTTGATCTCCCCTCCCCTGTCGGCCTTCCCAACATATCCGAGTCAGCCTCACCTTTCATCTCGGACAGTGATGCATCAGATGTAGCCGTTGGGGCAGTCTTGTCTCAACAGCAAACCGATGGACTGGAACATCTCCTCATTTTTGCCAGTCAGACACTCACCAAGGTTGAGCGTAACTACTCTACAACTCGCAAGGAGCTTCTAGCCGTCGTCACCTTTGTCAAGAAATTTCATCGCTATCTCGCCGGCAAACGGTTCATTTTACGTACCGACCACCAGGCGCTGCGCTGGTTGGAAAACTTCAAGGATCCGACCGGTCAACTCGCTCGCTGGCAGGCAGACCTCTTGGAATATTCTTACACTGTCATCCATCGGGCCGGTACAAAGCACCAGAATGCCAATGCCTTATCTCGCCGAGCACAAACGCCACCACTGGCCGCAGCATACGCCCCAGCAACTGCGATTACGTTTGGCACTCCCGACCACTCAGGGTGGGCGTCGGCTCAAGCTTCAGACCCCTATATATCTCTTATCTATGATCGGTTGCGTCAGGGTACGCCAAAACCGTCAGGCGAAGAAATGAAGGGCTCCAGCTGGGAAGCTCGCTGCCTTTGGTCGGCGTGGAACAGCCTTCACCTCTGTGACGGCGTGCTTTTTCTTCAATATTCTGCCACCGACCCCCGGCGTTTGGTTTTGCCGCATGATGCGATCCATTCCACACTTTTCCGTCTTCATGTTGATCTGGGACACGCTGGTGAAGCTCGTACCGACATCGTCGCGCGTCAGAGTTTCTGGTGCCCGAATCAACGGTGGATCATTCAGGACATTTGTAACACGTGCCCTGTATGTGCCGAAGTCAAAAATCCCAACCCTACACAACGCGCACCACTGCAGCCCATTCAGGCGGGTTACCAGAATGAAATTGTTGGCGTCGATCTGATGGGTCCCATGCCTCCTTCCCCCGCGGAAATCGTTATATTTTGGTTTTAGTCTACTTTCTCACCAAGTGGTATGAATTGGTACCCCTTCCACAAGCCGACGCCATCACTGTCGCTAAGGCCATCCTTAGCGAGTGGATCTGCCGCCATGGGGTGCCTGAGCGGCTCCATTCAGACCAGGGTGCTCAGTTCGAGTTCCGGCTGATGGAAGAACTCTGCGAACTTCTTCATATTCGTAAATCTCGTTCTACCCCGTGGCACTCTCATGGCAATGGACAAGTAGAGCGCACGAATCGGACTCTCAGAGGTTTGATCCAATCTTTCGTTAACGGTTGCCCTGGCTCCTCTTGGGATGTCGCCCTCCCTCAGTGCCTTCTTGCCTACCGTTCCGCCACGCACTCGTAAACGGGTCATACGCCGTTTGCCCTTATGTACGGCCGTGAAGTCCGTCTTCCATTGGACACTTCCTGTTCCCTCCCACTTCCATCCCCCGAGCCTCCCCACGAGTTTGTGCGAAACCTCAGAGCTTACCTATACCGTACACACAAGCTTGCTCGCACCTATCTCACTACGGCCCATCAGCGACAAAAAGAGTACTATGATCGTCGTGCGCACGGTGCACCTTACCAACCTGGTGACAAAGTATTCTGGTTTCAGGATAGGTTGCCTCCTGAGTCAGGCGACAAGTTCTCCACGCATTGGATAGGGCCGTTAGTTGTTTTGGAAGTCCCTTCAGGAGCATTCTATATCCTCAGAGACTTTGATGATCCAGAGGATTCCACCTTTGAAGCTCAATTCAACAAGCTCAAGCCATACTGAAGTGTGTTTTCGACCGAAACGGTTAATTAAACAAGGTTGTGGTATTATTTATCGCACTGCATGATCCCATGTTATTTCCGTTGCACCAGGATGCTCGCTTTTGAATGTGCCTTTTTGGCTATCAGCAGGAACCGAACTCTGCTCAATAACACTGCCGGATTAGCAGGAACTTTCTGCATTGATTACCGATTTGAGCATTTGGAAACACTGAAAATCGATGGGGACATTCCTCTCATATAAACAAAATCGTTTTGAAAATAAATGTTTTTTGCAGACAGCTAAAAAGAAGCAGCCGTCAATATGCAGCAGAGGTGGATGAGCTTGGTCTAAGCTTTTACCCAAAAGTTCAAAGGAGACTGGCAGCGTCTAAGATGCCCTATAATAAACTTATTCGTTTCTAACGCGCTGGAAATTGAGTCTCGAAATGCTACGCAGTAAGTGTTATTTTGTCCCTACATCTATGACGAAGATAAAATTCTTTGGTAAACTGTAAATTATTTTGTGTAAGTTTTCGAGACTGGTTCCCCAGTTCGTCTTTAGTCTATGTGTGCGCAAAAACAATTAACTTCCCAATTAAATCTAACAAGAGTTTATATGACTGATTTACGTTTGTGCCATTGCGTGCTAATGGCAGTCTGTCACCTCTTGGGGATTGGCTGAGTCAGTTTGAAGTTGGCCTTACGGATATTATAAGTGGCATCTAGGTCGATATGCCGATGAATGCATGCCCCATTTGTGTGCATTGCTTCCGGGGATTCGCAAGGTTTCCTTATTGGACAGGCTCTGATGAAACAAGTTATCAAGCAGAAACGGAATAACTCTGCAAAATCTTTTCCCAAAATGGGTACACGCATCACTTTATACGTCAGTGCATGAGACACCAGCAGTTCAAGGGAAAGGGTGTTTCCCAAGTTGCGGCCGATTGGGCACCAAAACACACCACCTAGCGAACTCCCAGCACGTGAGCGATGTATATTAACTGGTCGAAAGGCAGCCAACATACACCAGCTACTCATAGCGCACAAATCGGCAACTAATTTAGGCACAAAGCTAGTAAATCCAAAGGACAGAATTTGCCACATCAAAAGAATAGGTGTTGTCTGCAAAATCGCATGTTTCAGTTGTGATGCAATTCAAAGTTGTCAACCAGGAAGATCTGCTTCAACTGTTAGACGTGAACATCAGTTATCGGCGAGGAGACGCAAAAATCTATCCAAGATGATTATGAACGCACAAATTTGCGTGGGTTGACACACAACGTTATAACCTGCTGAGTAAGGAAAGGCTGCAGTGTGATAGCAGGCAATTCGCCAATGAGGACATTCAGTATTAATTAATATATATGTGTGCGGAACGTGATGTTTAACCAGCTAGTAATGACGAAAAAGTAAGGCAGAGGTGAACATTGGTACGTACTCCCGACAAGTAACGTCTACATTAGGAAAAATGTGTTATAGGAAGCGGGGGTCATTTCGGTTTATATGCAAAAAGTTCCGAGTTGGTAATTGTTTGACAGTGTTTGTCTTCCGGATAAATACAAATCCGGTCAAGCGTGCCCCAGAAGTATTTCCCAGATGTTTATAACACGTGGCTAAAATGGATTTTGATACATAAAAGAAATTTGTGAACCATCAACATCAAGCGGCAACGAAATCAGTGCGCGTATAGTCGCAAGTCAAATCCCGGGGTGGTTGCATCCCGGCATTTTCAAACAAAGGTACAGAAAACTTTAGGTGCACAA